GATGATGATGATGATGATGATGATGATGATGATGATGATGATGATGATGATGATGATGATGATGATGATGATGATGATGATGATGATGGTAGCACACTCAAGTCTTTGACTGCGGATATGAACAGCTGAAACGATAGTTCTCTTGGGTGAAAACTAGTCAGTATTATCACTCTCGAGGTAGGCAGGTAGGTGTTCAACAAACCCCGCAATTGAATTCGCTAACTGTACAAACTGGTGCGTGGACGCATGGTCCAGAAGCCGCTAGTCATAGGGTCGCACTTACTCTTACAACGGCAGTGAAGCATCGGTGTTGAACACTGATGTCATGCTGTCGATGATGATGAATGATGATGGGGAATTGGATTATTATGTTCGTGTAAAGGATCATGGTGGGGATTACAATGACGATGGTTTCTTTATCGTGCTGCTGACTTTGGGACAAAAATCTTCGTGGTAGTTTTTTATCCAAAAAAACGCTTTCAAGTTGGACTGGGACTATTGATGCGCTATCGAAGTGAGCGATTATTCCCATATTGTACCACTATTATTTTTAGCAATGAGGTGGGGCGAGATGATGGATCAGTGGTTAGAGCATGAATTTACTGACCGGAAGGTCCGTGGTCGAATCCGAACTCTGCCTCCGGACTTTCTCTCTCTAGGCTCTTGCTTCCTTCGGGTGTTATGGTAGTAAGCACCGGAAGGGTGCTACAACTGAACGGAAGGCCTAAGGGGAATCAACTATGATGCCTGTCTCATGGATGTGTTGCGTAGTTGGTGACCCTGCTTATTTGTTGTTGTTATCTGCCAGTCGCCTGGTAAGTGTCCGAAGTCCACTGAGAAGAGTACCATTCTTTGTGGCCTTTCAGCTCACGGTCTACATGCCGAGTCATGCGCAGTGTGTAGTATCTACAGGTTACTAGTTTGTCGCCCATTTATACAAAATGGAGGCTTTTCAAGAATACTTTATTAATTGGAGAGAAACACATGCATCGTAGACCATGGACGGGCAAACTAAGAAGCTCTCCGTTTCATTCTGCCGCACAAATCGTCTATCAACCCATTTACGGTTGCAACGAAACACGCGCACGGGAAGAACTAGCCTATGTGTATTCTCGGTGAAATTCTGAGCGCTCATCACAAGGGATGCTGCTACAACTACCAAAGGACTACATCAAATAACGGGGTATCATCAGTTGCGCATTGAGTTCTTACTTATTTGCCTATTTACTGAGAAAGCATGATGAACTTTACCATGAGCTCTAAATGTTTTCCTATACCCACGGTGTTCTCTCATACGTTAAACTATTTAACTTGAAACAGCATGTGTTCTGGATGACTTACACAAATAAGTCACTGATTGTTGGCTAACCAACATTTGCTTGTATGAACCGTCAGTATAATGATGATGGACATCAAATTCCAAAGGGTGACAACATTTCGAGAAATACACTCATTTGCAAATCAATTTGGTTTTCACGGAGACTCAATTGAATCTCTCGTCTATGATGTCCTCCAGCTGAATGTGCTGCACACAGGCCGCTTCATGTTTCAGTTGGCACGATATTCGAGATATCGCAGTATATTTTCATAAAGGAAATTACTCGCAAGGTTGCTGAAAACTCTGACAACATCTCTTTGTGATTGGAGTGTTCAGCCAGCGGAGAGATAGTTGAGAAAATTCGCCTTCTAAGCTGAACGTAATGAGAGTTCAGCTGGAGGTTTCTTGAGTGCACAATGACATCTATCGGTTCATTTAAGACGGAAGATGCATATATTCGGTAGTAACATGTAGGTTTACAGTGTGATTACCCCCAAGAAGTGATTTACATTTTCACTATGGACAAAATGATTGCATACATCAGGACGGGAAAAAAAGATGAAAAGGGATCACCCCAATCAAATCGATATAGTAGACAAATGTGGTGCTTTTGTGAGTCGCGTTACACTGACTCTTAGCTTGACTGGGCTGTAGCACATTGATGAAGATAATTTTGTGCGCATAAGCCAACTTTCTGGCAAAGTTCAGTTCTGCCTGATCAATAAAATGCCACCGAAATAAAATCAAGTCAACTAAGCGATCCATACGGTTTGCATTGTTTGAAATCACCTGCGTATTTTTCGTGGATGAAAGTTATAAGGTTTTTCCATTATGATGATTTTTTCCGCGGGTAAATCAGTCATTTGATGTGCCAAGATGCGTCTCTATTCCGGTTTTGGAAAGTGTGCTTCATCAGTCGTCAGGCATACCAAGAAATTCCACAGCGCCTACAAAGATATCCATTCGAACAGCTAAGATTCAAGCCACCCTCCAGAAAACCTTTGGTTCAAACCTCTCTGGGGACTCGTGAAGCGCCCGTTGCTGGTGATGCTCACAAAAGATAAATTGGCTTACAATGCTTCCAGACATTTCAACATAGATAGGCTTGATTTACAGGACTAAATCTCAATAGAAAATTAAGAAATCTTCGATCAGTGACTCCATTTCACTTGGGTAGAGGAAAAGTTAGCTGTGTGTGGTTCAGGCAGCAGGCGCTGTTTGCAGCCCAACCGGTATGCTGTTCATTGGTAAGCCGAGTTGAGGTTTCGGAACACTCTCCCATGCCGTGTGCACATACACTTCTCATTTGAATAGTTGCAACCACCGAATGAGTACATGGGTGCAGAGCCACCTATGCGTCAGCAATTTAAGAAACCACATCTGAGCAGCCTGTCTATACTTATCTAAGATGATCTGCCAAACGGCGTGTGTGAAAACATTCATAGTAGCGGCCCTATTTGGCGATAACAGGTACCTCACTCCGAACGTTTACCTTAAATTAGCATACTACTCATGAATTCGGTAAGTAGCTGAGATATAAGATTCATTTTAGAGTATCCACACTGGCAAAAAAAACTACAAAGGCCGTAGTCCATATCGGTTTCAGTTGCTCGATATGGGCAACAGTTTTTGACGGTATTTATAAGCCAAACTACCGGAGATTTGGGACGTGTTATGCAAATTTTACAGTCGACCGCTAGTATGCGGTGTCGGATATTCTCGAGGATATCTATACCCTCTTTAATTAAGCAGCCACAAACTATCATTTGATAAAATGAATCGTCTGCATCCATCTCGTTATTACTGCATATAGCTTATTTTCAGCAGTTAGGAATGCTAATTACTCAACAATCAACTGACAGGCATAAAATAGTGGCAGAGTCAGGTCTACAGTATGAACGTGGATGAAATCGATATTTTCGATGTACGCAAGTCCGCCTGTTCAGTCTTGACCAAATTTATCCCAATAACTGCCGGATGCACATTAGACTGAGAACTGAGATGTATGGATCTCACAGTCCAGGTGGTCGATCATTTCGTTTTATGGTTGCTTCTTTACATAGAATACTAATATAAGAATCTGGTTGACTGTTCTTTGTGAGAATCACTGATCTGGTCTTCGAATGTTACCGGAACCCCGCAGGCGAGCTGACAGATTTCATGTGAGGTGAACAGGTGAACAGGACACTCTCGGACAGCCCGCTGAAGGGTTAATGAACCCTGTAGTTGGTGGAAGTACTAAGAGTTCCGGACAAAATGTTCGATTCAAGAGTGACGTTTTAAATGGACACATTCGTTGCCGCTTAGTTACCAGAACAATGCTAGGTTCATATATTCCTGGTCTGGGGATAACATGCTTTGGTTCAAACGACCAATTGGCCTTACCATTTAACTTTCATGAAAAAGTTTTGCTATATGTGTCACAGATACAGAAAAAAGAAGAGTGAAGGGAAAGCTATCATTCTCAATAAAAAATCCGGTGATTAAGCAGGTGTGTTTGTGTGATAACTCACGTAAAATTGATAAATGATTGAATCGTCGAGAGAGTCTCAGTATTTACAAAACATTTTTCGTTTATAAAGCTTTGACCTTAAAATAAGAAAATAAATAGATTTTGTGCTCTAGAACAGACTTACACCAGGAACTGCGACAATCCTTAGCTTCATTCAGATGGGTTACTCTTAACGGTCTAGGAAGTAATTCCAGACAAAATGTGTGTCTTAGTCTTGCCATCAGACTAGCGATTGCTATCAGAATATGGAAACCGGAAATGTATGAACACAAAGAATCGATTCTATATTTGGCAGCCTCGTGATGATAAACTTGATTTCGACATCCCGATGGTAAAGACTCCTTTGTTCTCATAAAAAAAACTACTCACAAGGTGCCCGAACAGTTTTCGACACTTCACGACTAGTTTTGTACTTCTTGAGGTTCATCATGTAGGTGCAGTCCCGAGTTTCCGTCAACCTTGTGTTCTACTTGAACTCAACTTGAACAAATCTCAACAAATACATTTTGTTGGCACATCAACTGGGGTTTCACGGGAGACCCAGATGAATCTTTCGTTTAGGCTATTCTGTTGCTTTACGACATTTTCCTGTATTACCACGCAACGGATTATTTATCTGTGCCCTCTTCAAGTTTATAGCCGGATAACCGTGTTTCGACGAATTCGATTCATGACTCAATAGGTTCTGATTGCTATATTTCATTACGCTTCTAGATTGACTACGTGCTCGATGACCGGGGCGAGACGGCTCAAGCGGTTAGAGCACGAACTTATCAACCGGAATGTTCGTAGTCCGAACCGGACCTCTCGACTTCCCCTGTCTAAGCTTGGACAATCTGGCAGTATCTCAACCTTCGTGCCTCCTTCGGGTGGCGTGGCAGCTGGGCACCGAACGATTATCACTTCGCGCTCCTACCAAGTTTTGTAATAAATAAATTGGAGCGACAATTGATTAGGCATTCATCAAACCATTGTGCTGAGCTCTAATTCCTATCACGCACTGGACAAGCTCAGAAACCTTTTATCAACACTGATCATCTGGACAGAGGCACAGTGATTCACTTACCAGGTAAAACGGTAGAAGAGACTGTTCTCACGGAAACAGAAAAAGGTCTGGCCAGCTTCTGAAGGTCGAAATCACTTCAGGAGTAACAACACAAAGCCTGAACACTTGATCAGTGCAAATGGTGAAGCTAAGGTGGCCGAAAGAGAAGTTTTTCTGGAACAACTGAGAGATGATGGTCATATCATTCCACAACAACGTGAGAAACAGGTACTCACCTGCCTAGTTTATGTGAGTCATCTACCTTAGGGAAAGCCGGAGTTCTGTTACGTCCAATTTGGGATATTTTCAGCCAATTAGTTATGCAGTGTGTTGGAACGGGTCCGACCAAACGCGCACAAATACGTTTTGTATGTCAACCAAATTGATGGATGTCGTTTATAGACGTTTCAGTGTTTCTTTCGTTCGCTCTGCGTTTAGAGGCTGTTCACTGTGGACAATATGTGCAACTGAACGCCATAAGATGTCGGCATTTCTACCTCTGAGGAATTGCGGGAAGCAAACGGGTTGAACATTCATGGCCGGCAAACTGAAAAATACTGCACTGGCTAGTACAAAATAGTTATTAAATTGTGAGTGATAATTTAATCGATCCTTCCTCCGTTCTGAATGTATTCAGCGAGGCCAATGCGGACAACTTCTTTACATGTGAACCTGGGGAGGAAGAACGATTTCCTCTCCAATATTGTGTCAGTGACCCAAATCATGGATGGGTGATCCTGATTAACTTTCCTTTGTTGTCTCTGCGACCCGGCTAGTCATCAGAACGTCGGGCCATACCATATATCCTGAATTGGTGTGTTTTGCCAAACATATATACCCTGAGGACGGGTGTCCTTCCTAGACATCTGAGCAAGGATATCATTGGACAATCAAACGTGCCTTCGTGGGAAAAACTCTGGAAAAAGAGAGCATGGGCTTGAAAGCGTGGTACTACAAAATAACTACTCAAGTCGGGCGGACATTTCAAACTGGACTCAGCCAAAAAACCTATATAAAGCATTCAAAATCCAGGTCACTTTGTATACGCTTTCTAAGCGGATGCGATGTGTTATGCAAAGTACGATTAATAAGTGTGCACAAAACTTCAGCTGCACTACTCAATAGGTGGAGTGTTTGACCGAGGGTTCCGTCAGTTGCTTAGTTTGGGTAAGAGTTCCGGTCTGTATCCGTGAGGTTGTCTGCTCCTTCGGAGAAAGCTGTATTGGTTTAGGAACTAGGTGATTGTCACCGACTTGGTCATGACGCGAACGGTCCTTTTTCAGCTCTTCTTCCAGTCAGATAAATAGTTGACGTTTTAAGTGACTTATTGAGCCAATCTGTATAAAACCATTCGGGTTACCAAACCTTACTTCTTTCTGTCACAGTGGCTTCGCATATAGGACGCTTGGTAGGGCAATCACGTGACCCACCAGACTAACCTCACTTTTATTAAGTATGACAGTTCAGTGATGGTTTAAATCGGACTGACGTTTACCAGCCCCTGTGATCGATTTTCCTCAAGCCGCAAGAGTCAGGCGGATGTGGTTGAGTCAGTTAAAGCAGTTGCGAAAAAGCTGCTCGTTTGATGAGCAGACATTGAGACTAACCAAGGCTAATCCCCAACTGGTCTGAAGTTCAGGGTTCTGTTCATGGCTTCATGTAAAAGCGTCCTATCTTTACCATTCCGCTGTCACGTTCCCTCTTTCAGGTGGTTTATTCTCCGTGTCGGTTACTCACCAAAACACCCGGCGTTCTCGTTGACAACGCTAGCACTATGCGCATGTTTTGTCACAGTTCGTCTCATCGGATCGATACCGTACTGGGTTTGGCTTCAGCAGAGTGTCACCAGTCTCACTGATCCGGACCAAATCAAAACGTGTGAAACCTATAAACCCGTCTTCTATGTACTGTCTATTTTACTAGACTGTTTGAATGTCGCATGGTCTTCAATTCTGGTTTTTCGAGCTATGCGGTCTCTGAAGGATTTGAAAGTTCATTATCGATCGAAACAACATAATGGAGAAATCAGCTTTGAACAAGTACATTCATGACCGGATGTCGTTTAAAATCTGGAGAGCAAGGTTCCAACCAGGACAAAACCAGATTGTACGATATTCATTCTTTTAATTTTTTCAGACTTACGAAATTGAATTAAATTTATTTTATAATGCGCGACTATTGATTAGTTCTAACATTGCTGAGAGTTCGGATGGAGTTCGCTAATTTATGCTAGCTGTTTGTTGATCACGTTTTAGATTGAACACATGAAGAGATAAGTGAGTTGCCAACAAGCCTACTTCAAAAAATCAGTTACCTTAAATGCAGACCGTTCCACAGACTACTTAAGGGCTGTATGAAGGACCGTTTTGCTCTCAGATTCGAAAAACATTTGAGGAAAGGCGAAAACTGGACACAAACCGAGAACAGACCAATCGAAAACGGACCTAAAACACCAGAAACAGGCCATCCAATCAACCAATGGAATAGGAGATATACAGACCACGGCGCAGCGCAAATCACGACAGGCCAATAGTATTGCAAAAAGGGCTGTTGTTGTTGAGTCAAAAGAAAAAATCCAGTATGAACGGATTTATTTTGCCCGAATTATTCACCCAAATATGATTAATATGGCTGGAGTACAACTGACGGAGCTCAATTAACGGCACACCGGCCAACGTTCATCAGACCGTGCATGATTTCCAGCACTGTAGATCGAGCACGGAATGCGTTTTACTCATTGTCCCTATGTGGTTGTAATCGCGATATTGAGCGGAACTGTATAGAATCTTCAAATGACGCCACTTGTGGCGTCAAATTGCATATCACTGAGCCCCAAGATAGGCTTGTATCGGGCTGAAGTAAAGGCATTATTATTAGATGGCTGCCGGACATGATCTTCAAGGACAGGTGATGTAATACCTCTTCAGGTTTTTGATCACCAATGTGACGCCGATGAATTTGTCACGCTGCAATCAATAAACGAGTAGTTGTTTGCGTCCAAAGTACTTTAGTCACGGAAAACAGCCATCATTATCAGCTGTGGCGGCATGATCCTGTTCTACGCATGCCGAAGCACCGCCCATGTTTTCCCTGTGTCTCCTTCTAAATAGCGCAATCTGGGAGGTGTGAAATGTATGACTTGGTAGAAGATCATGAAAGAGATCTTGAGGAGTGCTACTAGTGTGTCCGCCTTCCAGGATGGGGTCTCCGTGACACCTACATGCTCCTGGCTTTCGGCGTATGTGAGTGGTCTTCGATCTCTCCTTTTCTTGCCGGATTGTCTAATTGTGCAGTTGAACGTGTTCTCACCTTAGAATGTTTGCGATAGGCCAGCACTTGGTCCTCTCCTAGCGTTGTGATTTGCTGAGTGGTCGCGCAAGTCTGTATCGGTCCCTTGGCTTCCTGCTCCGCCCACAAAGACATATCAAAAGGTACGGTATCTCCAGACAGCCACTTATGGAGACTATGGAAGATTAATGCAACTGTATTTATAGGGCAATCACAGAATGTTCCACAAGATCATGCTAGAATCTCCGTAAGTGGGCGAGAAGCGTCGAGCTAGAGATTCTCGATCCAGCTTGGCTGGGATTCTGAGCAATCAGGGCATGCCTCCGCAACCCGCAGGTGACAAATTCATCCAATAGACGTGCTGCTTGGTTATTAGGGGTGGCTGGCCCCCTGGACACCTGGCGCACTCTGAAGTTCTTTTTCACCATAAGGCTTACAGTACGATTAGATGACGTTTGTGTTTGTACGGTAGTTTGGCTCCGGTGACAACACTTACTATTTGTCTCCGATGATGATGATGATGATGATGATGATGATGATGATGATGATGATGATGATGATGATGATGATGATGAAATGATGAGGACGAAGTTGGAGTTGTTGAATGAGGCATTCACTTACGAGATGAGATCTTCGAACAGTGACCCACATGTGTACTCAAACTGTAGATTGACTCACCAAAACATTCCACCAGGAGCAGTCGACAGCTGGCTCACTGAAGCTATTATTACCTGGTGAATAAGACGCATAAGTTCTGTGATTAACGTGAACATACATATTATTGTGATCAAGACCTTCCCGACCTTCAGGAAACAACGTGTGAACCCTGGACACTGCTGAATGCTACTTGTATGTCCAGCTTTCGCGACAGAGAGGCCCCCCTGGACACAGTCACAACCATGATGTTGTGAGCGCGCATTGAATTTGCTCAGGTGCAGAAGTTTAGGTGCTTCCGAATATTTCCATAGATGGTCATAACCAAAAACCAAGCGCGCAAAACAAAAAGGAATCACCGAAATTTTCACAGACATAACAATATGATAATCGCGTCACGCGCTATAACGAAGAACGTCAAATATTCTGCTTCCGTTGTCATGGTAACCTGATACAGACTGGTTAATTTAAATACTATATCTTTCAAAGTGTTGACTGACAAAAAACGACACTATAGATTGGTTTGATTGATAGAAACAAGGCGACAGAGCCAGTATTTGACTGCTCCGTCTGTTACATTGGAAAGATATTAAAAAATATAATTCACTGTTGAAATGCGATTGAATGAACCAAGATTGCTTGATAAAACTTCTTTGGCCATCAGTAGTCTATCAGAGACAGCTTGAGATAATTTCTATCAGTTGTGTTTGGACAGTGTTTGGTTGAAGTCCCCTATGTGGTGGTATGTTTTATCTGCCTGTAGCTAAGTGACCTCGTGTCAAATGTTCCACGATGGCCACGCTATCCAAGCAACTCCACGATACCATTCGCGAGTTGCTTGAAAAGCGGAACTGCAAAACCTGAAGGTCCGGATAACTGAACCCAAGTTTAGATGGATGATCTTTCAGCTGTTTTAGAAAATGCTACTTCATTTGGTCCGATTTTGTGGGATCGCTAACTAAAAGCTGCTCATTTGGGATTCCGATCCATCTATTAGCGTACCTTCCGCACCACGCAGCCGATCACGCCCACTAACTGTACTCAGCTTACGCGAGATGAAATTTCCTATAATACAAATATTTCGGGCCCATCTGTGATTTGGTAATGAGGTTGAAATTTAGGTCGGATATTCGTGGCTCCATGTAGCTTATAGCCGCCGATTTACCGACTTCACCATCTTCTCTTCTTTGATATGTAGACAAGAGCTGGTGAAGTTGCTCGGGTCAAGAGTTCTGATGATAACCTTCCTGACACCGCGCACAAACAAGCGGAAGTCTTTACCAGCGCAATTAGGGATCCGGGTCATGAGGTCTAATGATAGGCTTCTTGACGCCGCGCACAAACAGGCGGAAGTCTTTACCAGCGCAATTAGGGATAAAGGATACTCTACAGGAGTTAAATCGGATAAAACGACGAGGTAAAACCCCGTTCCAACATTGACTGCAGAAAACAAAAACCTGTTTCTTCACTCACTGCCTTGGGAGAAGCCTGAAGGTTATATCCTAATACCAGAGCCCAGTATTATCTCAAGGGATACCTCCCACGCTACTCTTCTGAAGCGTTCATTCACAGGTGACCAATGAGTACAGTGACAACAGGTCCATTCATGGCTGGTGAGCCATACGACCAGTCAGCTTGACTTGAAGACCCCTAAGCACCATTCGAAACAGTACAGGATGACTTGGGGGCACCATCGATGCTCATGTGACTCACAATCATTAGGATAGATATGAGCACAACTTTTAATCACATATAGGGTTCCTCAAAACCAGCCTAAACAACACTCCAACATGACCTCAAACTAGCGTTTTGGACTGACGATACTCAGGCATAACCATCTGAGTTCCCATCCCTTATCGACCACATATTCACAGTGGGAACTGTGGACCCCCCGCCTCAATTTGACGGCAGTGTTTACACTCATTTTAAAACCGGTAGACTGTGGCCTATTAACGATTTTTCATGTCTTTTTTGTTTTCTGTCGGTGTAAATAATCGCGATTGACCATTTGATAAAGAGAATATGAGACTTTCAATGAGCATTTTAGCCTGTAATTTGAGCCAGTCTATACTGGAAGCCGAGGATCACTGTACAGCTGTTTTCATCCTCACTGGAACTACTCAGCATGGGAAACTCAAGCCTCGTAAATCTTGAACTAACGCCCTCTCGGTTGGCAGTTTAAACACATAACCGGACTGCCACGATGTACTGATCAGCAGTGTGAATAACTCGCACGTAGGTACTTCACACGTAACATTTGGTCCTCCTGAAGTACACTCCGTATTCACAAACGTCCTTTGGTACTGCCTTTCGATCGCGTGCTCAAACTATTAGTGACATTTCCTTAGATTATAGGCAGCGAGCCCTTCTGCTCTTATTTTCCATTCTTGTTTCCCTCCACGCTTTGTTTAGAAACCCTCATCCAGCCCTTGATGCAGCTACTCCGGTGCTACTCCGGTGGTGTACACATGTCCCATTTTCCTCAAAGATGCCCACTGAATAAAGCCCCTTACTTTCACAGGAGCCTGAGAAACGTGATCGATCGATGCATAGTGTTTGGCTATTTTTAATTTCCTAAATATACTATTCACTCTACCACTCCACTACCATACTATACCATACCACTACTATACTATACTATACTACTCACTCAATTGAGCTCACCTCTGTTAGACTTTCACAATGAAGCGAAACTGTCACGTTCGTCCAACAGACTCAGAACTGGCGATATGTTTTTTTGTATTTCTTTCTGTAGCATGTCCAACAAACGCACATGTCGCAAAGATAACATCGCTCCGGTTTTCCGAATTGCGATACACAAGGGGTAGTGAACGATGTAATCAGTGGCTAGTTAACACATGGTTGTCAAGGTAACGTGCTAATAACCGGCAGGTTACCCTGAACAGCGTAGGGAGGAACGGTTTGCAGGACAACGTTAATGGACTGGCAGTGGTACGTATGAATTTAGGTTGATTTGTTTGATGGACGTTTACCGGCCCTGGCGTTGGTTTCTGTTGCAGTGGAAAATGTCCCATTATTGTTGTTCGACAATTTCGGTCACCGTTGGTTTGTTTTTACGATCAAATAGCTTCTATACGGACTGCATAATCGTTGCTAGTCAAACAGTTGGACTTGTGCTGGGCCAGAACCGGAAAAAATTTTTCATGTGGATAGTTGTTGAGATTGGCGAGAGATCTAGCCACATGTCGCAAAGATAACATCGCTCCGGTTTTCCGAATTGCGATACACAAGGGGTAGTGAACGATGTAATCAGTGGCT